ATGTGGCATAAAAATCCTCTTGCCAAAACTTCTCAAGGTTTCTTCCAATATGCTATAGTAACGTCCATGGCCATAACATAAGGTATGCTTCCAAACAAACCTTATAGAAACCCTATACAATTCAGACAACTTCGAATCCTGGTGAAAGCAAATTTATTTCTACTACCGCGGTTCTTCATTAAATTCTTGAGGGAATAAAGATTTAATTAGAAGTTATTTTGAAAACGAGTCTGTCGCAACTACATCAGTAACTAAAGTTCATTGAACTTAAGTTCCTGCATTGCATGATCTCATCGCTGTTATTATATTTATTTTATCAAATTTTTTTTGCTTTCCACAGTTTTTATGTTACACCCTGTTTTACCACAGTAAATTCTTACCCATCAGCTCCTCGGCTTGAAACATTCTTTCCGGTCTTACATGAACAGCCACTGGGTTTGCACAGCTTCTGTAAACAATAGCCACTAAAAGGATCCCAAATTCACGCGTAAACATTTTAATAATTCGCGAGTGATGGAATCAGAATATACTCTCCAGCTATGGCAGGTCTTACGAGTATGCGCAGCTGCGAAGATATGGAAGTTTTAACTTATCTCGGTTCCTTTTATACGATGCGTTTAGACCGAAAGAAACCAGTTTAAATTTCCGCCTGGTTCGAGAATCCTTTTTACAGGGTGGGGCCACTCGAGGGCGGAGAGGGGCGTTTGTAAAACATGCAAAATGGAGATTTTGATTCAAGGCTTAACCTTCCATACCAATTTAAGGAAAACAATGCCTCTATAATCCCATAACGCTGTTTGTGAGATTATCCTGCACTCAAAAGATAGAGTGAAAGTTTTTGCGAAATAACATGTCCCAGTTTTCCTCTGGCTCCTTCAACTAGTAACCTGATCTTTGGCTGCGGCTAATGGCTAAATTTCCGGCTAAACAAGTTACGCCTCCCTCAGCTTCGCTATCGCGTATAAATAGTGCTAAGTAAGACTCTTTAAATACCACATTTACCAGGGTCAATGTGGGTACCGTACCATTTCTAGTGTGTTATCGTAGCATATTTATAAGAGCACCGTCGAACGGAAGGCATTCAGAGTATTCCCTCCCCCCGCTCACAACTTCCCTGTCGCAACTGTCGAGGAAATAATACCATGGTTCATACCGTAGTTCAAAAGTTGAGTTTCGATAGTAAGTCTAGGGATGCCGTCTATATCGCTAACATCGCTAGATAAGCCAAGTTCTCGGAAACCTCTATTTTCATTGGCATAAAAAACATACCTGCAGGAGCCCATGATACCCGCTATTAATTGTTTTTAGAGATAGCAGCTCGTGTAGGTCATTCATCTATTGTTTCGTTACAGAATAGAACAACTTGTTCTAAGAGCTTCAATTCACGGCGCCTTCAAAATTAAGCCGTCTCGTCTTTACTTTATATAAAGCACGCACAAAGTTTTTAGTTGGAACCGATTCCCTTAGGAAAGATACTCTAACACAAATTTGGGCGTGTACTTTTAATAAATAACGATTAGATGGTCATTCTAAGAGGATTAACCCAAACCTTTTGATTTTTAAAGTATTCACGAGCATTTTTGACTTTAATTACGACGGCCTTTCAAGTTTTTTACAGCAAAAGTGCAAGCATTGGGTACTTCCTTGTTAGCAAATATCATCACGGTAACGCCATGGAATAGGCCAATTCCGAGTTCAGTCTTCACTTTCGAAACAAGGCTCAGTGCCAAACCTTTCTTGCGATAATGAGTTTTGTTCGAATGAGGATGAAAATTCTTGGCTTCGCAGTTTGCCTCGCTTTGAAACAGAGGCTTGGGGAAAGTCGACAATGGCCTAGGAGACAGACAACAAACGACGGTGTAAATAGAAAACTCTAAGATAGATCGAAGAAGGGATTTGGGTTTTTTCTGTTCCGTCAATCATCGAAATCCATCAATCACGAATCAAAAAAACCATGACCTTCTGTACTCGTGCAAGTAAACATGTGTTTCCTAAGAGGTCCGCTAAGAAGATTGACGGAACAGAAAAACCAAAATATGGAAAAACCAAGAGCCATAATCCCATTATGGCTCTTGGCAAAAGGCATAGCGCGATACAACGAATTTCTTCATGAATTAAATATGACGAAAAAAAATTAGCACGTGGTCTGGGTGACCCCTCAGATGGTCTAAACGACCCCCCGCTCTCTCTCCTCCGCAGAGGCTCCCGCTGGGTATCTCAATAAAAATAGCACCAGTCACTCGCGTTTCGCGCTCGCCTCTTTGCGAAACCATGAGAAAAAAGAAGCGCCTGAGGAGGATGCTGGGTCACACAAGATTCTGCAAGCAGAACACACCGTGGCGTAATTTGTCGTTTTTCCGCGCGCTAAGGCCATGTGATCAAGATTCTCCAATCAGCGTATGGAAACCTAGCCTGCGTAGCATGGCGGTTTTGTCGAGCCGGGCGCAGGAGCGGCGTAGCCGCGAAATTCGCGCGCGAAGCGCGCGAGAACGAGCGGCGAAGCCGCTAGAAAAATTGCTTCCGCCCCAATCTCCTCGCGGTTTCTCTGCCCTCGCCCGCCTTTATTGCTTAGCGCGCCCGACCAAAACCGCCATGCTACGCAGGCTAATGGAAACCAGTCTACCTCATTCGAGCGTTCGTGTACCCATGAATGGTGAGCAACAGAGGGAGATTCAACTCCCGATTCATTCGTTTATTGGAAAGGAAAACACACCTTTCTGGGGAAAAAAGCACTTTAGAATACCTGACCATTATGCTGTTGATTGAAGTTAAAGAAAAAGCCAGAGTTTTCGAAGGACAAGCAAGAATTCAATCGTCGGAGAGCGATGCACGTGAAGACGGGTTCTGGCGTGAAAACACGATGTAAGTTTTAATAGACTTGCTACTGACTACTGTATTTTGTTATACTATAACTGTAAGCTTAAATGGGCTTGCTTTATTGGTTTTTATTTTTTATTTCTACTCAAGCTTAATATACATATATCAAGTCCTTTGACTTGACTTGACTTTCAAGTTTCCTGGTAAAAGTATACCACAGGGGACCCAAGTTCGGTATGCGAATAATACCTAGCAGTAGCTGTTGGCTAGGAAATGATGTGGTTGATGAAAACCGCTTTCATAATTGTGTAAGCCCTTTTAGTTTCAGTGTCAACAAAAGGATATCACTGCCGATCATGAAAACTGGGTTGAACAACATGGTAAAAAAGACTCATATTCAATTCAACAATTTTATTTGCTTAGATACAATTAGCCTGTGAATGGTAAGGAGTGAGGAGATGGCTGTATTCACCAGCAAAGATACATTGAAACAGTAAATTCATGACTGCACAAAATCCTATTTAAATTCAATTGAATATTCAGTTCATGTCAATGACCAAAGGCCATTACCCTGGGTACCAGAGGTTTTTCTTGAGTGCGGCGGGAATTTTCGGTGTTGGCCGAAGCCGCGAGAAAAACCTCTGGCATGGAGCGGTGCTTTTTACCGTCCCCGTTGACCTTTGCGCTTTTTAATCGGATTATATTTACGCCAATCAGATTGAAAGTCTCTGACTGTGATCATGTGGGCCGGCACGTGAAGAAGTGTCCAAAGACCCACATTATCCTTAGCAAAACAAGTTCGAGTTTAAAATTCATTGCTTTAAGAGCAATCATGACTGGGTCACATCGCAGTTCTCCATAGTTGATGTAGCTTCAGTTTAAGCTGCAATCCATCCTTCGAGATTAGGATCTGAAAATCACTATCTGTGAGAATTTAACATCCTGCTAAAAACGCTAACGAGCTGGTTCCAGCGTGACAAAACATTGCAGGAAACCGTCACTTTCACGGACAAAAAGAAAATCGCTTATAATTATTCAGATCCAGAAGGCACTTTGGAGAAATTAAACAACCTAAAACCCTTATTTAGCTGCATTGAAGAGCTTAACATTTCAAAAGAGGTCAAAGAAAATGCTCTTGCATCAGAGGGCAAATCATATGCCGACCAGACACAATAACCGCAGAAAATCAATATGCGTGTCACGACCTCTCAGTATGAAATAATCGGCAAAAATCAAATTTGCTCAGTCAAAACGTTTTTCTCCAGAGCATAATCCACCCATCACGGAAAAAATTCATGGGAACAAGCAGCATTTTGGCATGAGGTAAAAGTCGTGTGTTGCCTTCTGACCCCCCTTTTATACTACAAATACATGTTTTGTTTTTATATTCCTAATCCATCAATACAAACTATTTCAAAACATGTTGTAATTGTTTGAAATAGGAAATTAGTAAAGCTTAAACCGTATTGCTACAAAAGCTGAATTGGTGATAAAAGCTTAATTGCGCTGAATGAAATTAAACACTCCACTTGCTTGCTCATAGCTTTTAACTTGTCCTTCTAGTACTTTGCTTATCATGCTTTTCCAAAACTTTCCAAAGCCAACACACAACACAACAACAACACTTCTAAAGTTGGAAATATTCTTTCACGTGCTGGTCTATTCTTGTCAGCCAATATTTATTGTAGCATCTGTTAGATTGAAAGTCCCTCAGGTGGTCGTTAGTAGCCAATCAGCTGTCTTGTCCAAAATCTGGACCAACTGATTTAACCGTGCTAACGATTGGATTGGCGCCATCAAAGCAATAGCGCTCTGCTCCAGAGGCTTTTCGCGCGGGTCACTATATTAAAGACTTGACAGAAACCGGAAACCACACTAGAAAAGTCTCTGGCACCCAGGGTAAAGGCCATAGATATGCAGTAGAAAATAATGAAACAGCTTAAATTACCACTGGAGTTTAAAGCTTATTCAAGGCTGTGCTCTAAAGGTAGACTGCAAAACAGTCAGTTTTTTTCTCAAAATCAGTAAAGAAATCGGTAAAGCGTGGTGTAAGAGTCTTACACGCTCGTAGGCTCTCTGTTTTCTTCCTCATTCCAGACCTTTTGTTTGACTGCTCGTGCGTACTTGAAAACGCAAAAATAAGGACTGTTTTGCAGTCTACTCTAAATGCACCTGGTCGCCTGAGGAGACTAACAGTTAGCTTCGGGGGAGTGAAAAAAATTTCCCGGTCACCCGGCCAGGCACTCTTGCCTCTAATGCAATGTTCCGTTAAAAATTAAACATACTAGTGTTGGCTTGTTGAGTCAGAGTTTACTAAACCCTACAGAAAATGAAAAATGTTGTAGGAAAGAAAGGGGCGTGCATAGATGTTGAAAGGTCATTCTGCATGATTTCACATGTAACATAATCCATCACTAGAAACATGACAAGTGGCACAGATTTCGATTTGTACTGCTTCTCAAAATAGTTTTACAATTTTTCCTTCCAGATAGAATGGTTTGTTAGGTACAGTTTTTTAGACTGCAAAACAGTCCTTATTTTTGCATACTCAAGTATGCGCAAGCAGTCAAACAAAAGGTCTGGAACAAGGCTAAAATAGAGAGCAAGACTGAGGAGAGACGCTCAAAATACGGACTGTCCGTTTTGCATACATTATATTCTTTTGAATTACCCGCTTC